ACATCTCAACAGTGAGCATGCGCTGGACGATAGAAGTACAGCTCAATGTAGAGTACAAATGCAGGTTGTACAGCAGTTAGAGCTACAGGTAAAGCCACATTTATTTTTAATATTGCCTCAGTCTTCTTCAACTTCCACATTTCTGTAGTGTTCTGTAATGAGTTCCTGTGTACTCATTCTTGAATGGAAAGTCCAAAGCCTGTTGTTGTCCTTTGTTATTTTATTTCATTTTATTTTGTAACTCTTTGGGCAGGTGCAGCCTTGGTTCATTCTTTGGAGCTGCTGCTCAGATATCTCCAGGTTCTGGGCACTGATATGTATGCAGCCAATATTCAGTTACCACCCTGGGCTTTTCCATCTCTCTCTCTCTCTCTCTCACTTTCCCTCCCTTGTCTCTTCTCTTTTCAACTTTTTGGTTATCTGTTGGTGGAAGTCCCTGAAGTTGTTAATATTATTAAACTGGGATCCGGGAGACCAGCTGGGGAGAGAGAGATTGAGAGAGAATGAACGTGAATGGAGAGAGAACAAATGTGTGAGACCAAGGAGGGGCGAGTGAGCACACCAAAAAGCATGTGTTCAAAAGTCACAGTAGAAGGGTATATGGGGATGCATTCCGCATTTTGTATTGTTCCCTTTTCTCTCCATCCTTGAGAGAAATTGGCAGTTCACTGCACATATTTTAAATGCATATATATATTACTTCGAAACCCATTGGGCTGTGTTGAATCTATTTTTTTGACTAGGAAAAATAAACTCATGCAGCTTTCCTAGAGAATCACTGTTGTGAGAGATTGGGCCATTTTTAATGTGGACTCTACTCCTGGGTTTGAACTTGTTGATGATCCACCATATTTATTCTTGGTATAATTAATAGAAAATTAGTTTCTAAAAGTAAAAATTGGGTCAGAAATGGAGACTATTAAAATGTACTGTTGCAAAAGCCTGACCTTGCAAACCCCATCTACGCAGCCGAGTTCCACAGTGCTTTTGAGTGTTTGATGACTCACTGCAGCTTCTTCCTCTGGCTGGTTCAGTGTAGGCAAGAGGTTAGCCAACTAGGGGAAATTAAAACAATGTTGTACATTATATTGTTACCAGCCATCGAAAAGCCTATTTTGTATGCAAGACAGCAATGCCTAGATATATGGAGAGCCCTAGGCTAAGTACAGAAGATAATTACATTTGGAATTTTACTGAGTTAAGTCATTTACAGCTTCAAATCGTTGCAGAGCAAAATCAGCCCAAACACACTTAAACTTTTTGTTGTGACTTTTCAGGATAGAAAGGATTTTTTTAAATTAGTTAACATCTCATATGATAAATTGCATTTTTAGTAGGATTTTTCTCAAAAGTTATTGTTTTGAGCTAGTTAATATTTTCCATTCAAACTCTGAGTATAAATTTATTAGAACAGTAAAATATTTGTACAAGTAAAGGGTACATCATAAAATCTCCTAATTTTCATATAAGTCTTTAAAAGCACCTTTAAACTTAGCATGTTTGTGGAGAAGACAAAAAGTAGTAGATTTAACCCATCCCCAGAGTTCATTTAAAGCACAGTAAGCCCTTGGAAAACTGGATTCCACAGGAAAAAAACATGACTGTTATGACCCAATGTGCAGGTATTGATGGTGGTATTTATACAGTGATGCACATCTACTTATTTTATATAAAATTGAATTCTCATGATTGGCTTAAGTAAATTGTTAACTATATTGCAAGTTTGACTGTTGGGCCAGGAACTAAGTATCTATCTTATTAATCATTGTTCATTCTCTACAAAGAAAGTCTGGAGGAAGAAAGGGGCGAGTCCATCAGTAAGTCAGGGGTTATCGCCCACCAGCTTTACCAAGGTGTTTTGGCAGGTGTGATCTAGGATTCTGAACTGTCAGGAGGTGTCTTTGATTTTTTGTATATTGTTCATGTATTCACAGGTTTCTTTTCAGGCTTCAGACTTAATCAGACTGAAGGCAGGTTTTTTGACTTGTAACAGAAAGCCAGGTTAACGCAGCCATTAAGTCATGATGTGGTGGTTACCTGATATTTCTCACAGTATTTTTTCCTTGATAGTTGATGTAATGGATGGAGAAAGGGACAACTAATTCTGCTGGGTTCCATCTTTTCTCAGCTTGAGAGGGTTGGTGTACCTAGTAACATAGTGTTTGTCAAGAATGAATAAACTGTAACCCACAGGCATAACTGCATAAGTTGAAAAAGGTTTTGAGATTTTCAGTGGTTAGGGGACAGGAAAAAAAAAAACAAAAGAAAGATAATATTACATGATAGGTAAATATCATGTGAAATTTAAATTTCATTGCCCATACAGAAAGTTGTAGTGAAACCCAGCCATGCTAGGGCTGTTCACTGATTGATGACCTGTGGTTGTTTGTACACTATAATGGCAGTGTCAGGTAATTGCACCAGACCCCATCTGGCCTACAAAGCTGAAAATATTTATGATCTGGCTCTTACAAAAGTTTGCCAAGCAACCTATGGTCAAGAGGATGAGGAGAACACAATTTGCATTCCATTATTAGCAGCTTGCTCCCTTAGGTTTCTAGCTGTCCAAAGTTGTTCTGGCTCCTTTCATACCTTGTCCTTCTTAGCCATGATATATAGAACCTGTCTAGTCACCACATCAAGCCTTATATGACAAGGGCTTGCCAATCATGGAAGGTCAGGGAAAGCTAGCTAAGGGATATTGACTCATTTCTTCATCTCCTTACTCATTTAGGAAACATTTCCAATAATCTATTACATAGCAAGAACCTTGCTGGAGCCACTAGGAAGGACAGCAGTGATTTAAAGTGATAAGGCTGCCCTCCTACTTCTTACATTCCAGAAGAAATAAAGGACCTCAAAATAGTTTTCTAGTGGACCTGTCCATTTATTGGATGGTGCCAGCTGACACCAACAGGCTCTTGAAACCACCAGAATTTTACTCAAAAGAAGATTCCAGTGCTACAAAGGGATCAAACAAGAACAGACATTGCCCATTTGTTGTTATTTTATCAGACAAAATATGTAAGAAGATGTCAGTAGTTTTTAGGCATTTTGTTTTTGTGGTGCTGGGGATTCTGGGTAAATTCTGTACCACTGTGCTACACTCTAAGCCCCTGTTTTTAGCGGATGAAGAATCCTTGCCCTGTGATAGCATTCAGAGATTAGATCGAAGATCCTTTGGATTGCAAGTCTAGCACCATTATGGTCATTTGAGACAAGGTACAATTATACTGAAAGCCACATTCCTTTTAGACTTCCTGTTTCCCTAAAGTTCAGCATTTCCAGGCTTGTCCCATCACATTTGCCATGTCATACACGCAGGTCTAGAAATACACTTTTTAATGTGTTTAACTCCGAGTCATGGTGCCCATAGAACCTGGGGCACTGGAAAAGTCAGCCCCCCACAGCAGCAAGAATACTTGGAAGAGACAAGCTCATGTCCAGATAGCCTTTCTGTTGCCATCTCCCATAGGCATCGTCCCCCATTCTCTCACACATAGGTTAGGGTGCCCTGCTCTAGAGTAGGTGTCCCAAACATGAGTACCCAAGGGCTATTGCTTTTCCCTTAAGGAAGGCATTTCCTAGTCCAGTATAGCTCAAAGTTTATTATAAAATTACCATTGTTAACTAAAATTTGAAAAATGTTTGCACCACTGAGCACTTAGGAAAGAGCAGTTAAGTTTTAAATAATTCCCAGAGGGGTGATAGCTGTATTAGAATTAGAGGAACAGTCTCCCCTAGCCTGCCACCTGACTCCCACCCACTGTAGAGTGGTACTTAAGCCTGTGATGTTTGTAAAGGTGGAGGCCTCATGTGTGCCCCTGTTGTAAAAACAAACCCAGTGATTTCAAATCGGATCTTACTGTATGCATTGATTGAGGTTCATGATGTCTAAATTGCAGGATAATAAAAGGACCCAACTGGAGAATTTGAGCTCCAGAAAGGACCAAAGCTGGTGAAGGTACTCACGTGTTACCTGTGAGGCCCCCTCGCACCTGAGCCCCAGCATCTTCCCCTGACCCAGAACAGAAGGCACTGTGTCTCTGATCCATCAGTGACACCTCTCTAAAGAATTAAATGTGCTTTTAAAGAAATTAGCTACTTGTAGTGGCTAGAGTTGCCCCTCTTCGTATGACTGTCAACTCAGTATACCACCAGCATCCTTTATGCCACCAGCATCCTTTGAGATAAAGAGAACCCTTTACGATTCTAGTGGCAAGATTTGGGGCATGCAGAAATCAAGATGGTAGGTGATGGAGTCTTACTTGGATCCATCTGAGAAGTACTATATGTGAGAACTACCCTGTCCCCATGTCCCTAAAATATTTGTGTCTGGATTCACAAAATTGAACTTTTCATAGACATCAGTTACAAAAGACCAGGGAATATGTATTTTTGAAGTTTTTGTTGGAGGGCATAAAAATACAGAGTGAGTGTTTTCTTAGCGTTGAACTGCTGGTGTGCGCAGAGGGTTGCATTCTCATGTTGCCCTTTAACTGGTCTCACCAAGAGGGAAGAAGGTTAAAAAGTCTTTAGAGTAGGCATTTTGAGCCATTTTGAACATTTCTTGCTGCATTTTGCTTTTACAAAGACAGTTACAACTTCTTGATTTTTTTTACCAGTGAACTCAATGGGGGTGAACCATATCTGTTCCCCAGGAGCCCAACATCATGAATCCTGAGAAGTCATGTGACCTCCTTACACTGTGCATAGATACGGAATAGCAAGGCAGACAGATAGCATGGATGTCACTTGGGTCAAGGACACGGTCTGTTGAAGTCAGGGAATATATTTTAAGATTTTCTCTGTAACATGTTCTCTTCTGAAAAGTTCTTCTAGAATGATGTGCAAAGGGAAGAGTGGAGTTTTGATAGTTCCCCCATCAATATCATCGTCACATAGATCATGAGATGTACTGCCTTTTCTCTATCACATCCACCAGGACAGAGGGCCAGAGGAAACAGAAATCATTGGGAGTAAGGACTGCCACCCACTGGGATTGCAAAGAAGCTTATGCAGCTGCTGTGATAGTTAGACACCCACTGTCCACAACGCATGGATCTAGTGATTCAAGTCCATAGTCAT